GCCACTTGCCAAACTTGCCCCAGCGCCAGATCTGCGGGCAGAATCCAAATTGTCTCGCCATTTCACTCTCCTCCATCGCTGGACTTTGAATTTTTGTGTACGGAACACTTTTTTGGTTTTACGTCATGAGCATGTGCTTGGTGACGTAACTGTCATGCAAAAAAAGAAAAATCTGACTTTGAAATGTTCCCGAGCGCAGAAAAATCGCAATTTCCGTGAATTTACTTTCGGCAGACAATTTCGTTGCAAGGGAGCGTCGTAGCTCTTCGGCGATTGTTCGAGACGATAGCATGGTGTTTTCTAACGGCGATAGACCCCGTGGAATTTGGTCAAGAAATGACTGAGATATGATGGGTTTACTGATCGACGGATAGTCGTAGATTTTTGACTGGTCGGACGGATAAAACTCCAATTTTCGAAGTGAGCTGCAGGTCATTCGCGTCGTTTTTCGACGCTCGAGCCAAATACTGTGAGCTCAACTTTTGCGTCACCTCAAAATAATGTGCAGCTTAGCCTCTCTATTAGCTGCGCACGTCATTTGAGGCGTGACGGGCAATTTCACGGCAAATGGGTCCAAATTTGGTGGAACACACCAAATTTCGAGGTGAGATGCAGTTCTCTCGCTTGATAGGGTCCAAAGAACACTAATTGTACTTCTAAAATTATTGAAATTCGAATGACTCCGCAACCGTGACATTGGCTAGCCGTATGCAGTGTGTTGGCTAAGAAGGTGGTGAAGAATATTGAGAGAAGAGGCGAGCTAGCAAGGCGGCCTTCTCTACACCACGTGTAGTCGTCAAAGTCCATTTCACAGATCGGGAATCGGAGCGCCGGGCTTAGAAAGATTGCATATTTGTTTGGCTCTTCGCCACAACTTCTGTCCGCCACGGCCTTCCTCAACACCGGCCGACATGTTAGCATAATTGCAAGAATTCACGGTGGTTGACCCTGCTTTGATTGCCTTGAGCTCCAAGTGCGGAAGCACGGGCAAAAAACCCAAACTTAGAGGTAGGTTATTTTCAGTTTTAAGCCACCCTGGGCAGGTCATTTATAACAATGTGTGTCATTTCTGTTGTGCACTACCCTTTGTGTGGCTATTTCAGGAATTCACGGTGCTCACTGTCCGTGTTGCACATGTGAATAGTCGGAAAGGTGAGAAATGGTGAATTTTTGACTGTTGGTGCGCAACTGTTCCTTTCAATGTACGTGTGTGTAAATGAGCCCAGCTGCAATGTGAGTGCAAGAATTGCTTAGATTTTTGGTATGTTAGTAAGCCGCTTGCACTTGTGTGAAGTTGCCCAGGATATTTGACCCTGCTGTAACTGGCTTGAGTCCCAAGTCCGGAAGCACGGGCAAAAAGCCCCAAACTTGGAGATAGGATATTATCAGGGTTCAGCAGCCCTGGGCAGGTCGTTTATGACAATGTGTGTCATTTCTGTTGTGCATTACCCTTTGTGTGCCTATTGCAGCTATTCGTGACGGTCACTGTCCATGTTGCAGCTGGGAATAGTCGGAAAGGTGAGAAATGTTGAACTTTTGACCATTTGTGTGCACCTGTTCTTTTCAATGTACCTGTGGGGAAATAGGGCCAGCTGCAATATGGGTGCAGGAATTGTTTAGATTTTTGGTTTGCTAGTAGGCGGCTTGTACTCGTAGGCAGTGCCCCAGAAAATTTGACCTTCCTGTAACTGGCCTGAGTTCCAAGTCCGAATGTACGGGCAAAAAGCCCGAAATTTTCAGGGTTCAGCAGCCCTGGGCAGGTCGACATTGACACCTGTGTCATTGCTGTCGTGCACTACCCTTTGTGTGCGTATTGCAGGAATTCACAGTGGTCACTGTCCATGTTGCAGCTGTGAATAGTCGGAAAGGTGAGAAATGGTGAATTTTTGACCATTTGTGCACACCTGTTCATTTCAATGTACCTGTGGGTAAATGTGCCCAGCTGCAATGTGGGTGCTGGAATTGCTTAGATTTTTGGTTTGCTAGTAGGCCGGTTGCACTCGTAGGCAGTGCCAAAGGAAATTTGACCCTGCCGTAACTGGCTTGAGTTCCAGCTGCGGATGTACGGGCAATATGCCCCAAACTTGGAGATAGGTGGATTACAGGGTTCAGGAGCCCTGGGCAGGTCGTTTACGACAATGTGTGTCATTTCTGTCGTTTCACTACGCTTTGTGTGCCTATTGCAGGAATTCACGGTGGTCACTGTCCATGTTGCAGCTGTGAATAGTCGGAAAGGTGAGAAATGGTGAATTTTTGACCATTTGTGCACACCTGTTCATTTCAATGTACCTGTGGGTAAATGTGCCCAGCTGCAATGTGGGTGCTGGAATTGCTTACATGTTTGGTTTGCAAGTAGGCCGCTTGCACTCGTAGGCAATGCCCCAGGAAATTTGACCCTGCCGTAACTGGCTTGAGTTCCAGCTCCGGATGTACGGGCAAAATGCCCCAAACTAGGTGTATGTTATTTTCAGCTTTCAGCAGCCCTGGGCGGGTCGTTTATGACGATGTGTGTCATTTCTTGTAAGCACTACCCTTTGTGTGCCTATTGCAGCAATTCACGGTGGTCACTGTTTCATGTTGCAGCTGTGAATAGCCAGAAAGGTGAGAAATGGTGAATTTTTGACCATTTGTGCACAACTGTTCTTTTCAATGTACCTGTGAGTAAATGGGCCCAGCTGCAATGTGGGTGCTGGAATTGCTTAGATGTTTGGTTTGCAAGTAGGCCGCTTGCACTCGTAGGCAGTGCCCCAGGAAATTTGACCCTGCCGTAACTGGCTTGAGTTCCAGCTCCGGATGTACGGGCAAAATGTCACAAATTTGGAGATAGGTGATTTGCAGGGTTCAGGAGCCCTCGGCAGGTCGTTTATGGCAATGTGTGTCATTTCTGTTGTGGACTACCCGTTGTGTTCCTATGACAGGAATTCACGGTGGTCACTGTCCATGTTGCAGCTGTGAATAGTCGGAAAGGGGAGAAATGGTGAATTTTTGACGATTTGTGCACACCTGTTCATTTCAATGTACCTGTGGGTAAATGGGCCCAGCTGCAATGTGGGTGATAAAATTACTTAGATTTTTGGTTTGCTAGTAGACCGCTTGCACTTGTGGGCAGTGCCCCAGGAAATTTGACCCTGCCGTAACTGGCTTGAGTTCCAGCTCCGGATGTATGGGCAAAATGTCCTAAGATAGGAGATATGTGATTTTCAGGGTTCAGGAGCCCGGGGCAGGTTGTTTATGACAACGTTAGTCATTTCTGTCGCGCACTACCCGTTGTGTGCCTACTCCAGGAATTCACAGTGGTCATTGTCCATGTTGCAGCTGGTAATAGTCGGAAAGGTGAGAAATGGTGAAATTTTGACCATTTGTGCACACCTGTTCATTTCAATGTACCTGTGGGTAAATGGGCCCAGCTGCAATGTGGGTGCTGGAATTGCTTAAATTTTTGGTTTGCTAGTAGGCCGGTTGCACTCGTAGGCAGTGCCTCAGGAAATTTGACCCTGCCGTAACTGGCTTGAGTTCCAGCTCCGGATATATGGGCAAAATGTCCTAAAATATGGGATATGTGATTTTCAGTGTTCAGGAGCCAAGGGCAGGTCGTTTATGACAATGTGTGTCATTTCTGTCGCGCACTATCCGTTGTGTGCCTACTGCAGGAATTCACAGTGGTCACTGTCCATGTTGCAGCTGTGAATAGTCGGAAAGGTGAGAAATGGTGATTTTTGACGATTTGTGCACACCTGTTCATTTCAATGTACCTGTGGGTAAATGGGCCCAGCTGGTATGTGGGTGCTGGAATTGCTTAAATTTTTGGTTTGCTAGTAGGCCGCTTGCACTCGTAGGCAGTGCCCCAGGAAATTTGACCCTGCCGTAGCTGGCTTGAGTTCCAGCTCCGGATGTACGGGCAAAATGCCCCAAACTTGGAGATAGATGAATTACAGGGTTCAGGAGCCCTGGGCAGGTCGTTTATGACAATGTGTGTCATTTCTGTCGTGCACTACCCGTTGTGTGACTATAGTAGGAATTCACGGTGGTCACTGTCCATGTTGCAGCTGTGAATAGTCGGAAAGGTGAGAAATGGTGAATTTTTGACCATTTGTGCACACCTGTTCATTTCAATGTACCTGTGGGTAAATGTGCCCAGCTGCAATGTGGGTGCTGGAATTGCTTAGATTTTTGGTTTGCTAGGAGGCCCGGCAATCGAGGACATCTGAGAGTTGTAATTTTTGTACTCCTCCGAGGTGTGATTTTTGGCGTGCTGGGCCAAGCACAAGGAAGCCATCTGCAAAAAACTGCAGAAAATGGTTGTTGTTTGATCCTTTGGTGTAATCTTTGTTTCTAGTCGAAGCTAGTTGCTGTTTGGAGCAGAAACGCTGAAATTGACTATTTTCTGCATGTACTCATGTACTCAGGCATGCAGTCTCACTCGTATTTTAGCTCTTTTTTCTGGAATGGATGCTGCTCTGCACCCCTTGGCGATCATTTCCTGCGCTCGTGGAGCAGCTGAAAAGGACCACTGGTATGTCTAGTTCCTGGTTTGAAAGTGGAGAGTCGACTTTTGTGCCTTGAAAAAGGAGTAGAGAGCGATAAAGGTACGTCTGTGGCTTATTTTTGAGTGCTCCTCGTACATTTTTGATTGTGATAGAAATTCTCAGACCAAAGTCAGACCAAAGTCGCCGTACAGTTTTCTTGTGGATTTTTTAGTTGTTTCATCTCGTATCTATGTCAGTATCGTGATGGTGAAGTGGAGAGGGTGATTTTCTTCCTCTAGGCTTCGTTCGGCCGACTTTGCTTCGTCTTCGTTGAAAAGTGATCCTGAAAAAAAGGTCGATTCGCAAAATTATGTTGATTTTCAATGTACGTGATGACATGCGATTGCTGACTATGGCTTTCACCCGTAGGCAGTGCCCCAAGAAATTTGACCCTGCCGTTATTTTCAGCTTCCAGCAGCCTTGGGCGAGTTCTTTAGAGAAATGTGGCTCTTTCTCTTGGTGCACTTGTCTATGTCCAGGTACACAAGGAGATGAGGATGGTCATTGTCGTTTTCTGAGCTGCGAACGGGCAGAAAGGTGAGAAAATGTCGGATTTTGATCATTTGTGCTGACCATTCGATTTCAATGTACCTCTCTATGACATGACCCAGCTGTAATGTCAGTCGTTGCATTGATTTCATTTTTGGTTTGCTTGTAGAGCGCTGGCACCCATATTCATTGACCCGAAAATTTGGCACTGCTGTGAATAGTTTAGTCGCAAAGTGAAGATTCACGGGTAAAAAGCCTCAAACTGTGAGATAGGTTATTTCAGCTTTCAGCAGCCCTGGGCGAGTTCTTTAGAGAAATGTGGCTCTTGTTCTTGGTGCACTTGTCTATATCCAGCTACACAAGGAGATGAGGATGGTCATTGTCTGTTTCTGAGCTGCAAACGGGCAGAAAGGTGAGAAAATGTCGGATTTTTACCATTTGTGCTGACATTTGAATTTCAATATACCTCTCTATAACATGACCCCGCTGTAATGTCAGTGGTCGCATTGATTTGATTTTTGGTTTGCTTGTAAGGCGCTGGCACCCACATTCAGTGACCCAGAATACTTTGGCACTGCTGTGAATAGTTTAGTCGCAAAGTGAAGATTCACGGGTAAAATGCCCCAAAGTGTCAGATAGGTTATTTTTCAGCTTTCAGCAGCCCTGGGCGACTTCTTTAGAGAAATATGTCTCTTTTTCTTGGTGTACTTGTCTATGTCCAGCTACACAAGGAAATGAGGATGGTCATTCTCTGTTTCTGAGCTGCGAATGGGCAGAAAGGTGAGAAAATGTCGGATTTTGACCATTTGTGCTGACCTTTGAATTTCAATGTACCTCTCTATAGCATGACCCAGCTGTAATGTCAGTGGTCGCATTGATTTGATTTTTGGTTTGCTTGTAGGGCGCTGGCACCCACATTCAGTGACCCAGAAAATTTGGCACTGCTGTGAATAGTTTAGTCGCAAAGTGAAGATTCACGGGTAAAAAGCCCCAAAGTGTCAGATAGGTTATTTTTCAACATTCAGCAGCCCTGGGCGAGTTCTTTAGAGATATGTGGCTCTTTTTCTTATGCACTTGTCTATGTCCAGCTACACAAGGAGATGAGGATGGTCTTTGTCGTTTCCTGAGCTTCGAACGGGCAGAAAGGTGAGAAAATGTCGGATTTTGACCATTTGTGCTGACCTTTCAATTTCAATGTACCTCTCTATCACATGGCCCAGCTGTAATGTCAGTGGTCGCATTGATTTTGATTTTTGGTTTCCTTGTAGGGCGCGGGCAACCACATTCAGTGACCCAGAAAATTTGGCACTGCTGTGAAAAGTTTAGTCGCAAAGTGAAGATTCACGGGTAAAAAGCCCCAAAGTGTCAGATAGGTTATTTTTCAGCTTTTAGCAGCCCTGGGCGAGTTATTAAGAGAAATGTGGCTCTTTTTCTTGGTGGACTTGTCTACGTCCAGCTACACAAGGAGAGGAGGATGGTCATTGTCAATTTCTGACCAGCGAACGGGCAGAAAGGTGAGAAAATGTCGGAATTTGACCATTTGTGCTGACCTTTCAATTTCAATGTACCTCTCTATCACATGGCCCAGCTGTAATGTCAGTGGTCGGATTGATTTGATTTTAGGTTTGCTTGTAAGGCGCTGGCACCCACATTCAGTTACCCAGAAAATTTGGCACTGCTGTGAATAGTTTAGTCGCAAAGTGAAGATTCACCGGTAAAAAGACCCAAACTGTGAGATAGGTTATTTTTCAGCTTTCAGCAGCCCTGGGCGAGTTCTTTAGAGAAATGCGGCTCTTTTTCTTGGTGCACTTGTCTATATCCAGCTACACAAAGAGATGAGGATGGTGATTGTCTGTTTCTGAGCTGCGAACGGGCAGAAAGGTGAGAAAATGTTGGATTTTGACCATTTGTGCTGACATTTGAATTTCAATGTAGCTCTCTATAACATGACCCAGCTGTAATGTCAGTGGTCGCATTGATTTTGATTTTTGGTTTCCTTGTAGGGCGCGGGCAACCACATTCAGTGACCCAGAAAATTTGGCACTGCTGTGAAAAGTTTAGTCGCAAAGTGAAGATTCACGGGTAAATAGCCCCAAAGTGTCAGATAGGTTATTTTTCAGCTTTCAGCAGCCCTGGGCGAGTTATTAACCCATTCAGCGCTACTGGGCCTTGCCTATGGTACTCTGCATATAAAATGCTAAAAACAAGGCAAATAGAAAGTTCTAAAACTCCAGGGTTCTGGCAACTGGGTCCTCAAATATTTTGGAAATGATTGCCAAGACCATCAACCACAGGGTGACAGAATCGATACAGTCCCCGAAAAGAATAGCGCTTCACAATAGGGGACGCAAGTTTGCTCAAATTGCGTGAAATACGCTAAATGTGTGCAATTGCAGCTGAAAGATCGCTGAAAAGAGAAGAAAAAAAGACGCTTAGTGTTACCAAGCGGGATTCGTACCGACGACCTATCGTACAAAGAGGCAGGATCATGATCCAACTGACTAACAGTGCTTTCACACACCTGATAGTGACGGAAATCAACTATATATCCCATGACGTCTATAGACGTCATCCCGCGCATGGGGGGCATTTTCAATGACGTCTATAGACGTCATCAGCGTTCAATGGGTTAAGTGAAATGTGGCTCTTTTTCTTGGTGGACTTGTCTACGTCCAGCTACACAAGGAGAGGAGGATGGTCATTGTCAATTTCTGACCAGCGAACGGGCAGAAAGGTGAGAAATTGTCGGAATTTGACCATTTGTGCTGACCTTTGAATTTTAATGGACCTCTCTACAACATGACCCAGCTGTAATGTCAGTGGTCGCATTGATTTGATTTTAGGTTTGCTTGTAGGGCGCTGGCATCCACATTCAGTGACCCAGAAAATTTGGCACTGCTGTGAATAGTTTGTTTAGTCGCAAATTGAAGATTCACGGGTAAAAAGCCCCAAACTGTGAGATAGGTTATTTTTCAGTTTTCAGCAGCCCTGGGCGAGTTCTTTAGAGAAATGTGGCTCTTTTTCTTGGTGCACTTGTCTATGTCCAGCTACACAAGAAGATGAGGATGGTCATTGTCATTTTCTGAGCTGCGAACGGGCAGAAAGGTGAGAAAATGTCAGATTAACACGCATGCACTCGCTATTGCAGACCAGTGGAGAGCACACATCACTTGGAGGATTTATGGAGTGCTGGGCAACCGAATCTGGCATGTGATATTCATGTAGGATAGTCCACGCACGAGGTGCAGCCCATAAAATGGGCACCCATGAACTGGGCGGAGTGTGGACGGCCTGTATGATAGTGTGTATGTATGTCCACGCACAAAGTGCAGCCCATGAAATGGACGGAGTGTGGACGGTCCACGCACGAAGTGCAATGCCCGTTAGGAGGCAGGAGTGTGGGAGTATGAGTGTGATGGCCGAAGGCCGTGATAATTGCCAGATGAGAGGAGATAGCTGGCCCATGGTTGCCCAGCCTCCATGCTAAGTTGTGACACATTGCAATGCACGTGAATGACACTGTTGTTGCTATCAGCGCAGTTTGTCAGCACAATCCTAGCAGAGCAAGTTGCTGTGCTGTTCCAAACGGTCAGCCGTGTGGGTACGTGCATGGGTGCGAGTTGCGTGCCCGCGTGGCGGGTTCTTACATACCTCCATGCGTTCTGTGATGCGCTTGTACCTCTGACAGCTTTTGGGTCAGCTGCGCCATGTCTGTGTCGGTTGTCCTGATGTAGCGCAAGACACTGTCGCTTCTCCATCGGCCCATTGCCCTGATTAGCCAGTCAGGGGTACCCGCCATGGCTGCAGTTGTGGCGGCACCGATGCGGAACGAATGACCAGCGTAATCGCGTGAATTGGGTGTTCCCGTGAGTGGGAGAAGCTGTCGGAGCTCTTCTGTCAGTGCCTGCCTGGTCAGCGGTCTCCCAGAGCGGTAGCGGAAGAGTGCGTCAGCGGCGTCAGACGGACAGACTGTAAAATATGCCAGGAGGGCGGCAACCGGGCAAGGTTGTGAAGTGGTACTACCGATTATCACTGCATGGCCCTGACGGATTTGGTCCGTCTTCGATTGCTTGATGTGGAAGCGGATATATGTGCGTCCTTGAGTGACATCCAGAGTCACATCCTGGCGCGTGGCATGAGTGGCAGGGTCAAACCCGGCTGGAGGCGCAGTAAATTCAGCGCATCGGAGAAATCCGAAGAAGGCGAGCACCATTGCCGCCTTGAGCATGCACTTGTCCTGCTGGTGACGCCGTTGGTCCAGGCTGAGTTGGTTGAGGAGCTTCCGCAGCAAATCAATGGTGATTGGGAGGCGAGTGCGCTGGATTGCCGGGTCAGTCGCCGTCCTCTTGATACCTCGCATAACACGTGGCAGCAGCAATGCGTTCATCGTTGGATCGCGGAATCCGGCTTCGAGATGCATGTTGCGTACTGCGGCCATGTAGACATGAATTGTCTGTGGTTGAACCGATTGTGTGAGGTGTGCTGCGAAGCAGCTGAGCATCGTGTCTGTAGCCGGCATGGGCGTCCATCTCTGCAACGCACAGAATTGCGTAAATTTCCTTTCGCCAGTGGTGTACGTGCGCCGTGTTGTCGGGGCGATTGCCATGGCTGCCAGGTCGGCGACCTCCCGCATCAGTCCAGAAGAGGGAGGCGGATTGCAGTGTCCGGGGGTTGCTTTGCCGATGGTGCCAGCTGCTGGAATGCCTGCAGGTTGAAACGAGACAGAGCATCGGCGATAGAATTCAGATGCCCAGGTACATATTTGGCAGTAATGGTGAAGCTGTGAGTTGCACAAACGAAGAACAATGCACGCAGCAGTGACATCATGCCTGGTGACTTGCTGGAGCTTGACTGCAGGCATTCGACAACGGACTGATTTTCGCAATGCAGTACTATACGTTGCTGGGACCACAGATGGCCCCAAGTACTGCAAGCCATTGCCACGGCATAGAGCTCTTTGTATCCGATGCTCTCTTCTTCTTGCTCCTTTGTCCAACTGCCCTGGATCCAGCGCTGCTCCTTGCCGTAGAATGCGCCCCAGCCGAGAGTGCCGCTAGCGTCTGTGTACAGTCCAAGGTCGGCCGACGATGTACTGCTGTTATAGAGGAGGAATGCCTTCCCGTTCCAGTGCTGGATCAGAAGCTGCCACCAGCGGATGTTTTTCCTGGCCTCGCCTGTCAGAGTGATACGGAAATAGGGCTTGGTGCGGCTAAACCTCTTGTTGATATCCCATAAGCGCCGCGTAAATGTTCTGCCTGGTACGACGACGCTCGACGCAAAGGAGAGTTTCCCCAGGAAGTGATCGAGTTTGCGTTGCGTGGTCTGGGTGCAGCGTGACAGCTCGCTGAGGATAGTGACTTTACTCCCTCGCACCCAGACGCTGATTTTTTGGAAACAAGTTTCTATACTTCCGATGGGAGAATCCGACATGGCAGTGCATTTTGGCGTGGCCAGGTCAAATTGTAGAATATCGCATTGAGTGAATTGCTTTATCTGAGAGAGGAGATGTTCGTGTCCTTGAGACCCGAAGTCCCGTTTCCATACGACAAAATTTAGGAGCTCTGCGCTCAGCGCTTTTTCAGGGTATGAATTTCGGGTTGTTCTGGTCGGGTCGCAGCGTCGCGGACTATTCCATCGTCTTCAGCGTCGCAAAACTACTGGCCATGTGAAATTACAAGGCGTTGAGACGCTTTCGTCTTCCTCTACGAGAGAATTTGTTCTGCGCCAGCATACCAAAGTATGCAATTTCGTACGCGCAGTTCGAGTGACGAGGCGTGTGCACTGTACACTGTACTGCATGCACTGACTGTGCGGTCGTTCTCGATTCTCCCATCACTCCCATTCAGTTCTGTTTCCAGCAAAAGTCCAACTTGGCGCACTTCAAATCACTAAAACTCAAGAATGGCTGGGCCGATTTGAATAATACTTGCAGATTTCCTATGTACTAGGCCTGGGAGAATCGAATGAGACCAAAATGGAAGCGATCGGAGCAAGTTTTGGAAATTGGGTGTAGTCACTACTGAGGAGCTCGCTGAGGAGCTCGCGGAGGTCCGCCAGTTTGTCGTCTGGGAGACGGGCTTCCATGCGCACCGTGTCCAGCACAATTCTGAGGAAGGCAGTAATGTGTGAAAGCGAACAGTGTTCAGGGGAGTGGAAGTCGGCTTACTTTTTCTCAGTGGGCTTCGAAGTCTTCTCGTGGCTATTTGCAGGGCGCTGCCACCTGAAGCGGGTGGTGCTGGTGCAGGATGTGGCGGCATGTCCTTTGTCTTCACAGGAGCTGCGGGCGTAGAGACGGTCGCAGGGTGTGCGGGAGCAGGGCCTGCCGCGGTTGAAGTTAAAACAGACTTGGCGGGTGCTGCCCGCCACTGATGGAAAGGGCTGCGCGTGTTGAGCTGCGGCATGTGGACAGCGGTCGCGGCTGTGTTGGAGCGTGCATTTGGTGCATGACGGACGGGGAGAGCGGAGTAGGTGAATACTCCACAGCGTCTGATTGATAACGTCCCAGCGCAGTGCCATGCTGGCGGTGTGTTGGCGAAATGCTCGATCATAGTTCAGCACAGCAGACGTCGTGAACTGTTAGTTCGCAGTACAAAGTATGTGCTGGTAGCAGACGAGCTCATGAGCTCGGTCAGGACGAGCACGAACGACGATGCCCATGTAGATCGTCCAGGCCTCCAGCCAAGCCGAGAAGTCGTTGATCACGCGCGTGTGCTTTGCGCTGAGGTTGAGCGAGAGCTGAGCCATATCGCCGCCAGCTGTAACCAGTTGTATTGGCTCCTGTTCCTGAGAGCTGAAGTTTTCCGGCAAGAGTTCGTCAAGTTCCAAAAACTCTCCGCGCTGGATTTTTTCAATCGCACGACGTGGCGGTGTGGGTAGAACCGAGGGCTCGGAGAGAACTGGAGGTCCTGGCAAAGTCGGAGGTTCCGATAGAACTGGAAGTTCCGGGCAAGATAGTTCCGGAGCTTGACGCTCCGAGCGTGGGAGCGATCTTTCAGGTGCGGAGCGCGCGTGTGGGAGAGATCGGCTTCCAGACTCAGCACTGTTCTCCAGGCGTTCCACGCGCTCGAGGAGAGGGTGGAGGGCGTTCATCTTCATCACGGCTGAGGAAATGATGTCCGGGGAGAGCAATGAGGGCTCGTCCTGCATAGAAGCTTTGGTGCCTGGAGCGGGGTCAGAAGTCTGAACTAGCTGCTGACGGTGTGTCGGAGGCATCAGGCGCGAAGGCGCGCATGCCGTCAGTCCGCGCGTATGGCGAGGTCGAAGTCCTACCCGAGCGGCGACGGGTAACCTCGACGGCATACCCGCGTCCGCGTCCACGTCTGCTTCCTCGTACAAAGCATCGTGGCATGGTGAAAGAGAGAGAAAGGAACAAACCGGTGTTCTTCTCACTACCCAAGCAAAGCAAATATGAAGTAGCAATGTGGCCAGCGCGAAGTATGGTGTATGCGTTACGGGTTCAAGCTCCGATGTCTGCTGCAGCCGCATATGGCTGGTTGGCTGGCGAGTTCAGGTGAGTTCCGGCGTACGCATGCTACATGCCACCACAGCGTGCATGTACGTGTTACTTGACATGCATCAATGAATAGCGGGGGATCTGCGGGCTCTTTGGAAGCCGCTGGAGCGCGTGTGAAGTGGTGGCTTGTGCAATGTGTTAACCTACATTACCGCAAGCTCTAATGTGCTATTTTGACCATTTGTGCTGACCTTTGAATTTCAATGTACCTCTCTATAACATGACCCAGCTGTAATGTCAGTGGTCGCATTGATTTGATTTTTGGTTTGCTTGTAGGGCGCTGACACCCACATTTAGTGACCCAGAAAATTTGGCACTGCTGTGAATAGTTTGGTCGCAAAGTGAAGATTTACGAGTAAAAAGCCCCAAACTGTCAGATAGGTTATTTTTCAGCTTTCAGCAGCCCTGGGCGAGTTCTGTAGAGAAATGTGGCTCTTTTTCTTGGTGTACTTGTCTATGTCCAGCTACACAAGGAGATGAGGATGGTCATTGTCATTTTCTGAGCTGCGAACGGCCAGAAAGGTGAGAACATGTCGGATTTTGACCATTTGTGCTGACCTTTGAATTTCAATGTACCTCTCTATAACATGACCCAGCTGGAATGTCAGTGGTCGCAGTGATTTGATTTTTGGTTTGCTTGTAGGGCGCTGGCAACCACATTCAGTGACCCAGAACATTTGACACTGCTGTGAAAAGTTTAGTCGCAAAGTGAAGATTCACGGGTAAAAAGCCCCAAACTGTGAGATAGGTTATTTTTCAGCTTTCAGCAGCCCTGGCCGAGTTCTTTAGAGAAATTTGGCTCTTTTTCTTAGTGTACTTGTCTATGTCCAGCTACACAAGGAGATGAGGATGTTCATTGTCATTTTCTGAGCTCCGAACGGGCAGAAAGGTGAGAACATGTCGGATTTTGACCATTTGTGCTGACCTTTGAATTTCAATGTACCTCTCTATAACATGACCTAGCTGTAATGTCCGTGGTCGCGGTGATTTGATTTGTGGTATGCTTGTAAGGCTCTGGCAACCACATTCAGTGACCCAGAACATTTGGAACTGCTGTGAATAGTTTAGTCGCAAAGTGAAGATTCACGGGTAAAAAGTCCCAAACTGTCAGATAGGTTATTTTTGAGCTTTCAACAGCCCTCGGCGAGGGTTTCTAGAGAAATGTGGCTCTTTTTCTTGGTGTACTTGTGTATGGCCAGGTACACAAGGAGATGAGGATGGTCATTGTCGTTTTCTGAGCTGCGAACGGGCAGAAAGGTGAGAAAATGTCGGATTTTGACCGTTTGTGCTGACCTTTCAATTTCAATGTACCTCTCTATGACATGACCCAGCTGTAATGTCAGTGGTTGCATTGATTTGATTTTTGGTTTGCTTGTAGGGCGCTGGCACCCACATTCATTGACACCGACAATTTGGTGCTGCTGTGAATAGTTTTGGCAAAGTGAAGATTCACGGGTAAAAAGCCCAAAACTGTGAGATAGGTTATTTTCAGCTTTCAGCAGCCCTGGGCGAGTTCTTTAGAGAAATGTGGCTCTTGTTCTTGGTGTACTTTTCTATATCCAGCTACACAAGGAGATGAGGATGGTCATTGTCTGTTTCTGAGCTGCAAACGGGCAGAAAGGTGAGAAAATGTCGGATTTTGACCATTTGTGCTGACCTTTGAATTTCAATGTACCTCTCTATAACCTGACCCTGCTGTAATGTCAGTTGTCGCATTGATTTGATTTTTGGTTTGCTTGTAGGGCGCTGGCACCCACATTCAGTGACCCAGAAAATTTGGCACTGCTGCGAATAGTTTAGTCGCAAAGTGAAGATTCATGGGTAAAAAGCCCCAAAGTGTCAGATAGGTTATTTTTCAGCTTTCAGCAGCCCTGGGCGAGTTCTTTAGAGAAACGTGGCTCTTTTTCTTGGTGCACTTGTCTATGTCCAGCTACACAAGGGGATGAGGATGGTCATTGTCGTTTTCTGAGCTGCGAACGGGCAGAAAGGTGAGAAAATGTCGGATTTTGACCATTTGTGCTGACCTTTGAATTTCAATGTACCTCTCTATAACATCACACAGCTGTAATGTCGGTGGTCGCATTAATTTTATTTTTGGTTTGCTTGTAGGGCGCTGGCACCCACATTCATTGACCCAGGAAATTTGGCACTGCTGTGAATAGAGTAGTCGCAAAGTGAAGATTCATGGGTAAAAAGCCCCAAACTATCAAATAGGATATTTTTCAGCTTTCAACAGCCCTGGGCGAGTTCTTAGAGATATGTGGCTGTTTTTCTTGGTGTACTTGTCTATGTCCAGCTACACAAGGAAACGAGGATGGTCATTGTCTGTTTCTGAGCTGCGAACGGGGAGAAAGGTGAGAAAATGTCGGATTTTGACCATTTGTGCTGACCTTTGAATTTCAATGTACCTCTCTATAACATGACCCAGCTGTAATGTCAATTGCTTCATTGATTTGATTTTTGGTTTCCTTGTAGGGCGCTAGCACCCGCATTCAGTGACACAGAAAATTTGGCACTGCTGTGAATAGTTTAGTCGCAAAGTGAAGATTCACAGGTAAAAAGCCCCAAAGTGTCAGATAGGTTATTTTTCAACTTTCAGCAGCCCTGGGTGAGTTCTTAAGAGATATGTGGCTCTTTTTCTTGTGCACTTGTCTATGTCCAGCTACACAAGGTGATGAGGATGGTCTTTGTCGTTTTCTGAGCTGCGAACGTACAGAAATGTGAGAAAATGTTGGATTTTGACCATTTGTGCTGACCTTTCAATTTCAATGTACCTCTCCATAGCATGGCCCAGCTGTAATGTCAGTGGTCGGATTGATTTGATTTGATTTTTTTTCCTTGTAAGGCGCTGGCACCCACATTCAGTGACCCAGAAAATTTGGCACTGCTGTGAATAGTTTAGTCGCAAAGTGAAGATTCACGGGTAAAAAGCCCCGAACTGTGAGATAGGTTATTTTTCAGCTTTCAGCAGCCCTGGGCGAGTTCTTTAGAGAAATGTGGCTCTTTTTCTTGGTGCACTTGTCTATATTCAGCTACACAAGGATATGAGGATGGTCATTTTCTGTTTCTGAGCTGCGAACGGGCAGAAAGGTGAGAAAATGTTGGATTTTGACCATTTGTGCTGACATTTAAATTTCAATTTACCTTTCTATAACATGACCCAGCTGTAATGTCAGTGGTCGCATTGATTTGATTTTTGGTTTGCTTGTAGGGCGCGGGCACCCACATTCAGTGACCCAGAAAATTTGGCACTGCTGTGAATAGTTTAGTCGCAAAATGAAGATTCACGGGTAAAAAGCCCAAATTGTCAGATAGGTTATTTTTCAACTTTCAGCAGCCCTGGGCGAGTTCTTTAGAGAAATGTGGCTCTTTTTCTTGGTGCACTTGTCTATATTCAGCTACACAAGAAGATGAGGATGGTCATTTTCTGTTTCTGAGCTGCGAACGGGCAGAAAGGTGAGAAAATGTTGGATTTTGACCAATTGTGCTGACATTTAAATTTCAATGTACCTCTCTATAACATGACCCAGCTGTAATGTCAGTGGTCGCATTGATTTTGATTTTTTGTTTGCTTGTAGGGCGCGGGCACCCACATTCAGTGACCCAGAAAATTTGGCACTGCTGTGAATAGTTTAGTCGCAAAGTGAAGATTCACGGGTAAAAAGCCCAAAGTGTCAGATAGGTTATTTTTCAGCTTTCAGCAGCCCTGGCCGAGTTATTAAGAGAGATGTGGCTCTTTTTCTTGGTGTACTTGTCTATATCCAGCTAAACAATGAGAGGAGGATGGTCATTGTCAATTTCTGAACAGCGAACGGGCAGAAAGGTGAGAAAATGTCAGATTTTGGCCATTTGTGCTGACCTTTGAATTTCAATGGACATCTCCATAACATGACCCAGCTGTAATGTCAGTGGTCGCATTGATTTGATTTTTGGTTTGCTTGTAGAACGCTGGCACCCACATTCAGTGACCTAGAAAATTTGGCACTGCTGTGAATAGTTTAGTCGCAAAATGAAGATTCACGGGTAAAAAGCCCAAAGTGTCAGATAGGTTATTTTTCAGCTTTCAGCAGCCCTGGCCGAGTTATTAAGAGAGATGTGGCTCTTTTTCTTGGTGTACTTGTCTATATCCAGCTAAACAATGAGAGGAGGATGGTCATTGTCAATTTCTGACCAGCGAACGGGCAGAAAGGTGAGAAAATGTCAGATTTTGGCCATTTGTGCTGACCTTTGAATTTCAATGGACATCTCCATAACATGACCCAGCTGTAATGTCAGTGGTCGCATTGATTTGATTTTTGGTTTGCTTGTAGAACGCTGGCACCCACATTCAGTGACCTAGAAAATTTGGCACTGCTGTGAATAGTTTAGTCGCAAAATGAAGATTCACCGGTAAAAAGCCCCAAACGGTGAGATAGGTTATTATCCCTTTGCGGACTGATGCCGCACATGTGCGTCAAAACGTTATACCCTGATTTCCTTATGCCGCATATGTGCGTCAAGTAAAAGCGCATACTTGTACAGTGCATATACATCGCTGTTCAAATTGTTGTAACTCCATTGTCCTTTATTTGATCGTCGCTCATTGGAAAGGTGAGAGAATAAGCTTTCCGGCGGTATGTCGTTTGATATAGCGCGGTGCGGAATCACTGAGTATCGAAGAACGAAACACGGATAAGCTTGAAATCGTTTCGAAAATTTGTACGCAGAGCGCTTCAAAGTGCATCGGTGTGCCTCAAACGGGGACTTTCCCAGTGACTCATCGCTGCACAGCGCATGCGAAGAAGAGATCAAATGAATCGCTTGAGCTTCATGAATCTTCAGGACTTTGAATCATCGTTCTACGTTGAGTAAAAATTGAGAAACGATAAAATTTGTGGAGGTGGGTACAGAATCTCTCTCAGGCGCAATAGGGCAGCTCTCAACAGGCTTGAAGGCGATTCTGTTGCTCCTGCCGGGTGTCTAGTGGCGATATTCAGAGAGAGGACATTTGTAGCTTTCCAATGAGACCAAAACGAAATAATTACGAAACTGGAGAGTGAAATTAGATGATTTTCAAATGCATACTGGGACTATTGCGAACGGCAGGGCGGCCGGTGGCAGGAATCAGGGGATTTAGCACCAGGGCGCAAAAGGTTAATCAGCTTTCAGCAGCCCTGGGCGAGTTCTTTAGAGAAATGTGACTCTTTTTCTTGGTGCACTTGTCTATATCCAGCTACACAAGGAGATGAGGATGGTCATTGTCTGTTTCTGAGCTGCGAACGGGCAGAAAGGTGAGAAAATGTCGGATTTTGACCATTTGTGCTGACCTTTGAATTTTAATGTACCTCTCTATAACATGACCCAGCTGTAATGTCAGTGGTCGCATAGATTCGATTTTTGGTTTGCTTAGAGGGCGCTGGCACCCACATTCAGTGACCCAGAAATGTTGGCACTGCTGTGAATAGTTTGATCGCAAAGTGAAGATTCACGGGTAAAAAGCCCCAAACTGTCAGATAGGTTATTTTTCAGCTTTCAGCAGCCCTGGGCGAGTTCTTCGAAATATGTGGCTCTTTTTCTTGGTGCACTTGTCTATGTCCAGTTACACAAGGAGATGAGGATGGTCATTGTCATTTTCTGAGCTGCGAACGAGCAGAAAGGTGAGAAGATGTCGGATTTTCACCATTTGTGTTGACCTTTGAATTTCAATGGGCGCTTTCGATTACACGTTTACACAATTCTGGAACTGGTTTTTTAAATTCTGGAATGACCAGAATGAGCGTATTCTGGCCTTGTAAACGAACGACTGGAATTCACAACGAATTTTATTCATGTCATGTCACAAATGAAATTGATGAATCGCAAAAAGAGATCACGTACACCCTCGCAATCGATCGCGCGCACGTGGAGCTAGCACCGCGCACACGCCGGCCAGGGAGGCTCTTCGCGCGCTTGAGTCATGACCAAACCGGTAACACACCGACAGTGCAATTCTGGCGCCAGAATTAGAGAAATTCCGCCTTCTCTTCAGAATTGATGGATTCGACGGAATTGGATAAAATCAATTCTAACGACGGAATTTGTCACTTTTTGTGTAATCGAACTGTGCATCAACAATAACTAATTCTAGAATTGACCGAAATGCGTGTAATCGAAAGCGCCCAATGTACCTCTCTATAACATAACCCAGCTGTAATGTCAGTGGTCGCATCGATTTGACTTTTGGTTTGTGTTCGTATTTTCTACTCACACGCACACGAACCCTTCGAAGACTGTATATTCATGCACTCGAGTACTCATACACTCGAATCATCACACAAACTGTGGGGCTTGATCTGTCTTACAACGTTCTTGCAAGACGATACAACAACAGCTCCTGTTCTCTACAAATCCTTACACACTAAAGTACTATCAACTAAAACCAGCTAATTTATGCACAGAACATATCCTGAAAAGCAGCGAAACAAAGGAAGCCAAAGCAGCAGGCATGGAAAGATCCCGTACGCACTATGAACTCTTGCACTCTAGATATGTGCAGCGTACGATACTAGTTCAGCGGCTACTAACACTAGCATGACAGACATGAATGAAACCGCAACCAAGTGAGCGTGACACAGATTACGAAGGTAATGAAAAGAACCAGACTGTCATCGCACAACCGCCTATTGTCGGCTCACACACAGAAACCAGATAGTCTAGCAATATATGAAATACGACGGAACATAATCCCCCTCTCACACGAAGGGTATAAGACTGAGTGTGATACCAAACAGTAACGATAGAACATGAAAAGACAAAGAACTAAAAGGAAATATGCAGGTCCATTCTATGCTGCTACTGTCACTACGGTGGGCTAAGGCACTGAATTCCTCAGCCACTATCTGCACACAATGGAACAAGCTGGTGAACACTCCGGCGCTTGATCTTGTCGGCGATCTTCACGTCCACTACCCTTACATGACTATCGGCTCCTGGATGGGTTCCTACGACTCTGCCTAGTGGCCACTCAGTGTCAGTATAGGAACACCTTCAATTGTGAGCAACACCGGATTCAGCCGTTGTAGCGGGTCGGATGCCGGCAGAGTCTTTCCAAGTGCAAGTCGCTGGATTGTGCCTCCATAGGTGTCGACTTGAGCCGCTCTAATCCAGTGTAGTTCCGCATTCTGCAGTTCTTGCGGCGACAACTCCTCCGTAGCGTGTTGTTCTGTGGAGTTGCTGGCTGCACTCTTTGCAGACGTCCCGTCAGTCTGTTGCAATGGTACCACTACCGCGCTGGTGGGAACCGCTCGCCCCCTCGTGATCCTTGCTCTCAGGTTGCCTAGGAATCGCAAGCACCATGCCGTGATGCGTACTAGCCGCGACCAGGACGAGTACGTAGATGGGCTTAGCCTGATCTGTTCATGTTCGACGGCGAACGTGATGGCTGGCTTCTTCTTCAGTTGTCCGGGGAGCTGAGCTGGCACAGTGAGGTTGGTTTTCGGCCATTCTGCCGGTGCCGACGGCAGAAATTGGGGTCCTCTCCACCAGGTATCGTTCCGTATGAAGTCGGCTGCGCGCTCGCCACGGGTGCTGAGGTCGGCTGGATTGACTTTGCCTGGCACATGGCGCCATTGATCGGCTGTAGTACTCTTCTGGATCTCAACAATACGAGTGGCAATGTCGCTCCGGAAGTTCTTGGCGTTGCTGCGCAGCCAGTACAGAACGTTGGTTGAGTCAGTCCAGTATACATGCTTCTCTACTGGTATGTCTAGCGCTCGAGCTACGACTTGACTCGCACGTACTCCCAGGGCTGCACCACGAAGTTCGAGCTTCGGGATGGTGGTTGGCTTGATTGGCGCAGTCTTGGCTTTGGCGAATGCGAGCGTGACTTTCACGAAGCCATCAGGGTACTCGCAGCGCACGTATACTGCTGTAGCGACTGCATGCGATGACGCATCGGTGAAGACGTGTACTGAGAGTGCCGCGGACTCTGGAGGACGACGTGCATCCTTGAAACATCGATCTGCCTTGATCTCTGCCAGCAATGGTAATTCCGCAAACCACCGCTGCCACTTAGAGCTCTGTTCATCAGACAGTGCGGCGTCCCAATCCTTCTGCTGCGTACATAGCTCTTGGAACATCAGCCGTGCACGGATAGTGAAGGGTGACAGCTGACCTCGTGGATCATAGATGGTAGCCATCTTGGACAACACTGATCGTTTCGTGAGTTGCTGCGGTGATGTTGCTTTGTAAATGAAGGTGAACACATCATCTCTCGCATTCCAAGCTACGCCGAGTGTCTTGACTGGATTGGAGATGGTCGGGTTGTCGTTGCTACTGAGATGCAGTAGCGAATCTGTAGCACGGTCAGCCTCGGGTATAGCCTTCAGCACTTGGCGGTCGTTGCTCCGCCATTTGCGCAGGTGGAATGAACCATGTTGCAGGAGGGACTGGACTTCCCGCTGAGTGGTGATAGCGCTATCAGTTGTAGGACAGGACTTGAGCAGGTCGTCCACGTACAGAGACCGGTCGATAGCACTACGAGCCATGTCACTGTAGTTAGAGCCAAATCTGCTTCCAACCTCCTTGACGGCACGGCAGGCTAGATATGGCGACGCCTTGAGGCCAAATACCAATCGGTTGAATTCAAACGCTTCCATGGTGGATTGTGGGGACTCTCGCCACAAGAATCTCACATACCGCCTATCTGCGGGTTTGAGGCCGACTTGCAGGAACATCTCAGCGATGTCGCCGACGAGTGCAACAGGTTCCTGACAGAATCCTAGCAGGACCTCCACCAGGTCTTGCTGTAGTTTCGGCCCAGAATACATATGGTCATTCAGTGACTGGCCGTCGTGGGTGGCTGCAGCGTCAAAGACCATACGCACTTTCGTTGTCTCCTTGTCCTGCCGCACTATTGGAAAATGGGGCAGGAACCACTGGTCTGGCTCGGTGAGAACGTCGGCATCGCACCTCGTGATGTAACCCTTCTCTAGATGTTGAGCTACAAGCTGACGGTACTGGTCGTATACTGGTGGGCGCCGAGCTAGCGAGCGCTCCAGGTTGAATAAGCGGCTCTTGGCTGTCGCGATGTTGCTTGTCAGTTGCGGCCGACCACCGTCACTCGTCCATGGGATGCCAGTGACGATCCGAGTACCATCGTGCGTAGTCATCTCACGTACCAGACGGTCGGCTTCGATTTCAGCCTGGGTGAGGGTAGACTGTGTCACAGTCCCAACATCATCCCACAACCAGAACTTCTCCACAATAGCGTCCAATCGCTGCTGTGGTGTCATGTCATCTGCTGGCTTGACGGCTGTGGTCATCGAGCACTGTGAGGGCGTCACTACTGGTCCAAAGCACACCCAGCCCAATGGTAGGCGACGAGCGATTGGGTCACCATCATTGCCAACGACTTCTTCCAGTGTAGTATGTGCTCCCGGCACATTCAGGCCTACTAGTAGCTCCGGAGTGCGGGTGTTGGTTGGTGGTAATGGAATATCTCTCAGGTGCTCATAACAGCATTTGATCTTGTCCCAGTTGACCGGTGCTGTGTGGGTGGTAATCTGTGGCTGGGTCCACACCTCGAGGTCCGCACTGTAGTTGCCATCCACACTTCTCATAGTGACCTCGACACACTGGTGTTGTCCTGTCACTGTCTTACCGCCCAGAACAGTTGTCTGGAGCGACTGGGGCTTGCCGACTATGCCGAGCTTACTCGTAGCGTCATCCGTCAGAAAGCTGGTAGTAGAGGCTGGGTCCAGCAATGCGGTGACGCGCTGTTGGCGACCCTCATACTCCAGCACTACTGGCACAGTCATGAAGGCAATCTGATCTCCCATCGATGCACTGGTTTGATGGTTGGTTGCTGCCTGGGGCTGTGTTCCGTCAGTGTTCGAGCCCTCTCGTGCTCCACTCGTTCCGTCAGTCGTCGAGCCCTCTCGTGCTCCACTCGTTCCGTCAGTCGTCGAGCCCCCTCGTGCTCCACTAGTCCTCTGGGTACGCTCTTGGTGGAGCAGAGTGTGGTGCCTGGCTGGACAACGTTCGCATCCTCCCGACTGACACGCTGCCCTCCAGTGCCCGGACCTCAGGCAGCAGGTGCACAGCTTCCATTCGTATACTAATTCCCGGCGCTGTTTCACTGGCAGTGCCTTGAAGCTTCGGCACCAGGTGATGCAGTGGCTGCCGTTGCAATTCCGGCAGGACCGAACTGGTTTGTCTCGCCTGGCCTCGTTTGCAGATGAGCTGGCGGCGTGCAGTGCTGTCTGCCCGCGAGGCTTGTACGTTGTCGTTGGTTGTGCAAGGCTCTTGGCTGGCGCCACCAGCGCTGCAGCCTCAGCTCGCTCTCCCAGCCAGGACGAGAACGTGTCGAGTCCGAGCTGATCGGTCGTCAACCCTTGCGTCTTTAGATACTCTCCCCATTGCATCCGTTGAGCTGGTGGTAACTTCGTGACCAACTCGTTGCGCAATGCAGGGTTGGTCAGGTGGCCCTGGCTGTTGAGCAGCTTCATTGTCAGCACGATGTTGTTGATGGCCGTTGCCAGTCCGATCAAGCTGTCGGGGTCGTCTGCCCTCACGGGTTTGAGTGATTTGGCCTGCTCGATCAGCTCAGTGACGACGAGCTCCGGCCTGCCAAACCGTCGCTCGAGCGTCTGCACGGCCTGCTCCACATTGTCGGGCACGGAGAGCATCAGCTGTACCGCATCCCGTGCTTTGCCCTTCAGGCACGCTTGCAGGCGTTGAACGTTCTCGGCATTGCTGAATCCGCACTGCTTGGTGCTGCTCCTGTATGTGCTGATGAACGTTGGCCATTCCTCAGGTCTCCCAGAGAACGTGGGCAGCTTGGTGTTGATGGAGCTGTGTCGGGCTGCTAGCTGGTGTAGGCCAGTGTCAGAGTCAGGAGTAGTACTGTGGCTGGTGGTGGTGTTGTTGCCACTACTCCGTAGTGCTGCTGTCAAAGCACCCATAAACTCCTGTGCCATGTTGGCGATGCCTATGGTGCCCTGGCCAGTACACTGGTCTGAGTCAGCATTGCCAGCTGTACTGCTACAATCATTACTAGAGTCACTGCTGGCTGGCACGGGCACTTGACTGCTGGCCTCATCTCTGACCACTCGACTGTGACTGCCACTCATCTGACAGGCAGACAGCCCGTGCGTTACACACTTGGCACCATCACGACTGTCTGTACTATTCACGGATTGAGGAGAATTCACACGTGATGCAACTACAGCTGTGGACTCGTCACATACCTTGCTGTGTGCATGCTGCACGCGCCGCTCCATCTCCGCGAGTTCGTGCCGCGCTTGCTCCAGCTCACTGTACATGCTCTTCTCCTGTTCGTAGCTGGTTTGCAACAGGTCTCGATTCTCCCGCTGTGCGACCCTAAGCTTGCTTTCGGCGACCTCCAGCTTCTGGACGATCGATTGAGCACGGTCTTTCACCCTTCTCGACTCCTTTCGGCACTCGTTCAACTGCTCGCCGAGGTAGCCGATTTCCTGCTGGTACCTGAGTTCCTTCAGCTGGAACTCGCGTCGGAGGTGACTTTCGGCGTCCGACTCTATCTCCTGGACGTGTCCTGCTACGTCCCCGACATCTCCTGCAACCAGTCCGACGACTACTGCGTCCGGTTGAGAGTTGTCGTGTGGCTCTCCTTGTGGTGCCTCCTCGCCTGCATCAAACACTTCTGCGGCCTCCGCAAACACTTGTTGTTGCATCCCGAGAGACGGGGACCTCCCTGTCCCGGAGCCTGGCGAACGAACACTACTTGTCCTTACAAGAGTTTCCGCTGCCAATTCAGATTCTCGCAGTTCCAACTGCGCCTTTGCGACTCGAATCTCAGCTTCCAACACTGCTCGTCGCGAGCTACCACTGTGCTGGGCTGATGATGTCCGCGATCGAGCACTCACAGCTCGACTTCCATTGCCGGACGTCGGCACTGCTCCTTGCTGGTCACGATTACCTTCGACAGCTTCGGTCTCGAAACCCCATCGCTGAGGAGGTACTCCTATCGTGGAACGGCTGCTCCTACGCATACCAGGATCCGACGCCATGCCACAATCCGGCTCGAAGGACCAGATATGTTCGTATTTTCTACTCACACGCACACGAACCCTTCGAAGACTGTATATTCATGCACTCGAGTACTCATACACTCGAATCATCACACAAACTGTGGGGCTTGATCTGTCTTACAACGTTCTTGCAAGACGATACAACAACAGCTCCTGTTCTCTACAAATCCTTACACACACACTAAAGTACTATCAACTAAAACCAGCTAATTTATGCACAGAACATATCCTGAAAAGCAGCGAAACAAAGGAAGCCAAAGCAGCAGGCATGGAAAGATCCCGTACGCACTATGAACTCTTGCACTCTAGATATGTGCAGCGTACGATACTAGTTCAGCGGCTACTAACACTAGCATGACAGACATGAATGAAACCGCAACCAAGTGAGCGTGACACAGATTACGAAGGTAATGAAAAGAACCAGACTGTCATCGCACAACCGCCTATTGTCGGCTCACACACAGAAACCAGATAGTCTAGCAATATATGAAATGCGACGGAACAGTTTGCTTGGAGGGCGCTGGCACCCACATTCAGTGACCCAGATAATTTGGCACTGCTGTGAATAGTTTAGTCGGAAAGTGAAGATTCACGGGTAAAAAGCCTCAATTTGTGAGATAGGCTATTTTTCAGCTTTCAGCAGCGAATTCCTTAGAGACATGTGGCTGTTTTTCTTGGTGCACTTGTCTATGTCCAGCTGCACAAGGACATGATGACGGTCATTGCCATTTTCTGAGCTGCGAATGGGCAGAAAGGTGAGAAAATGTCGTATTTTGACCATTTGTGCTGACCTTTGAATTTCATTGTACCTCTCTATAACATGACCCAGCTGCATTGTGAGCGGTCGCATTGATTTGATTTTTGGTTTGCTTGTAGGGCTCTGGCACCCACATTCAGTGACCCAGAAAAGTTGGCACTGCTGTGAATAGTTTAGTCGCAAAGTAAAGATTCACGGGTAAAAAGCCCCAATTTGTGAGATAGGTTATTTTTCAGCTTTCAGCAGCCCTGGGCGAGTTCTTTGGATAAATGTGGCTCTTTTTCTTGGTGCACTTGTCTGTGTCCAAATACACAAGCAGATAATGATGGTCATTGTCATTTTCTCAGCTGTAAACGGGCAGAAAGGTGGGAAAATGTCGGACTTTGACCATTTGTGCTGACCTTTGAATTTCAATGTACCTCTCTATAACATGACCGAGCTGCATTATCAGCGGTCGCATTGATTTGATTTTTGGTTTGCTTGGAGGGCGCTGGCACCCACATTCAGTGGACCAGAAAACTTGGCACTGCTGTGAATAGTTTAGTCGCAAAGTGAAGATTCATGGGTAAAAAGCCCCAAACTGTCAGAAAGGTTATTTTTCAGCTTTCAGCAGCCCTGGGCGAGTTCTTTAGAGAAATGTGGCTCGTTTTCATGGTGCACTTGTCTATGTCCAGCTACACAAGGACATGATGACGGTCATTGTCATTTTCTGAGCTGCGAACGGGCAGAAAGGTGAGAAAATGTCGTATTTTGACCATTTGTGCTGACCTTTGAATTTCAATGTACCTCTCTATAACATGACCCAGCTGCATTGTCAGTGGTCGCATTGATTTGATTTTTGGTTTTCTTGGAGTTCGCTTGCACCCACAGTTAGTGACCCAGAACATTTGACACTGCTGTGAATAGTTTAGTCGCAAAGTGAAGATTCACGGGTAAAAAGCCCCAATTTGTAAGATAGGTTATTTTTCAGCTTTCACCAGCCCTGTGCGAGTTCTTTAGAGAAATGTGGCTCGTTTTCTTGGTGCACTTGTCTATGTCCAGCTACACAAGGAGATGATGATGGTCATTGTCATTTTCTGAGCTGCTAACGGGCAAAAGGTTGAGAAAATGTCTGGTTTTGATCATTTGTGATGACCTTTGAATTTCAATGCACCTCTCTATAACATGACCCAGCTGTAATGTCAGTGCTCGCATTGATTTGATTTTTGGTTTGCTTGGAGGGAGCTGGCACCCAAATTCAGTGACCCAGAAAATTTGGCACTGCTGTGAATAGTTTAGTCGCAAAGTGAAGATTCATGGGTAAAAAGCCCCAAACTGTCAGATAGGTTATTTTTCAGCTTTCAGCAGCCCTGGGCGAGTTCTTTAGAGAAATGTGGCTATTTGTCTTGGTGCACGTGTTTGTGTCCAGGTACACAAGGAGATGAGGATGGTCATCGCCATTTTCTGAGCTGCGAACGGGCAGAAAGGTGAGAAAATGTCGGATTTTGACCATTTGTGCTGACCTTTGAATTTCAATGTACCTCTCTATAACATGACCCAGATGTAATGTCAGTAGTCGCATCGATTTGACTTTTGGTTTGCTTGGAGGGCGTTGGCACCCAAATGCAGTGATCCAGATAATTTGGCACTGCTGTGAATAGTTTAGTCGGAAAGTGAAGATTCACGGGTAAAAAGCCTCAATTTGTGAGATAGGCTATTTTTCAGCTTTCAGCAGCCCCGGGTGGGTTCTTTAGAGACATGTGGCTGTTTTTCTTGGTGCACTTGTCTATGTCCAGCTACACAAGGACATGATGACGGTCATTGTCATTTTCTGAGCTGCGAACGGGCAGAAAGGTGAGAAAATGTGGGATTTTGACCATTTGTGCTGACCTTTGAATTTCATTGTACCTCTCTATAACATGACCCAGCTCCATTGTGAGCGGTCGCATTGATTTGATTTTTTGTTTGCTTGTAGGGTTCTGGCACCCACATTCAGTGACCCAGAAAAGTTGGCACTGCTGTGAATAGTTTAGTCGCAAAGTGAAGATTCACGGGTAAAAAGCCCCAATTTGTGAGATAGGTTATTTTTCAGCTTTCAGCAGCCCTGGGCGAGTTCTTTGGATAAATGTGGCTCTTTTTCTTGGTGTACTTCTTTGTGTCCAAATACACAAGCAGATGAGGATGGTCATTGTCATTTTCTCAGCTGTGAACGGGCAGAAAGGTGGGAAAATGTCGGATTTTGACCATTTGTGCTGACCTTTGAATTTCAATGTACCTCTCTATAACATGACCCAGCTGCATTATCAGCGGTCGCATTGATTTGATTTTTGGTTTGCTTGGAGGGCGCTGGCACCCACATTCAGTGGCCCAGAAAATTTGGCACTGCTGAGAATAGTTTAGTCGCAAAGTGAAGATTCACGGGTAAAAAGGCCCAATTTGTAAGATAGGTTATTTTTCAGCTTTCAGCAGCCCTGCGCGAGTTCTTTAGAGAAATGTGGCTCGTTTTCTTGCTGCACTTGTCTATGTCCAGCTACACAAGGAGATGATGATGGTCTTTGTCGTTTTCTGAGGTGCTAACGGGCAAATAGTTGAGAAAATGTCTGGTTTTGACCATTTGTGCTGACCTTTGAATTTCAATGTACCTCTCTATAGGGTAGGACTAAAGGGACAAGCCCAACTTTTTTTGCAGTTTTCTGTCATAAAAAAATAAACGTCACAGGCGTCCGCGTCGGAGCGGTCCGGGCGAGCGACCGCATCTCAGTGGGACACTTGTCCGTGGCCGTTGTACTGGAAATCTGTGGCAGAACCTTGCCATGCCAGAGGCTACACACACCCGGGTACCTATACCGGGATAGACAAATCCTTGGTGTTGCTCCTTTCATTTTTATTTGTTCTTGCTGAGAAAGAAACGTTGCTGCTTGGAAAGCTTTCTGTTCACTCCAGCGACTTTCCTCTAGTAACGTTGCTCACTGATAATGATCATAGCTCGTGATACCAATGGTGAAGAGAAGCTGGGTTTCTTGCCATTTGCAACTTCCTGGCTCTGAAAATATAGCTTGAACAAATAAGAGCTCCAAATATTTTAGTTTTAGATTTCGATGTGCCAGACCTATCGTTACGAGATGCAGAGATGAGGAGCAAGGGAGGCGTTGGATTAATGCCAATAATGGTGTTTATGGCCCAGACAACGCCAGCGATTTTCACTTGTCAAGAGGACAGTCAAGTTGGAGCAGGCAGATGACAGATTATTTGAGCATTTATAGCGGAGTGGGTGGTTTGCTAAAGAGAATCGTCTCAGTACCTCATGGTTACTAGTATCTGACAAATGCCTCTTATTGCTAGTCTGCATTAGAGCATAGCAGAATTGATCATGTCACAAGTAGTGTCAAGACTTGATGTCCTACGATTATACTCAGATCATGTTGTAACTTCACGGGAATATCCGTCCTGCCACTTTACGCTCTCCCAAAATTGCCTGCAGGAGTCACGTGCCTGTGCAAGGGACAATGCGTTTGCATTGCTTACGGATGCAAGCGGATGGAGTGTAGACCAGATGAGAAAAAGTGATCCGGATATTCAACTAGCTTGGACCGCCATTATAAATTTGCCTGATGCCTGGACTATCTGAACATTGCTCCAAACCAATCCACAGAAGCAATACCCACACAGGAAGCCAAATGATAAACCCATTCATCAGCTATCGAACCTTTCATCAAAACATAATGCAGTGCATGCCTACTACTACTCAAACGAGATCAACGGATGCCACATGCCACACAGATACAACGTGGAGGCTCAGTATTTTCAAGACCCCGTGCAGTCTACACAACTAGAACAACGAGGTTTGCACCTAATGTCCCTCGATTTGCTTGCCGTATTTAGTTCCTTGCAATTGAAGCAAGCCGTATCCGAGAACCGATCACTGAGTTTGCAGTGTCGTCGTCGCGTGTATGTTGCCGTGGTGCTCTCTACCCTCCTGTACGGCGCGGAGACCTGGACAACGAAGGCTCCGGACCTACGACACCTCAACCTTTTCCACCATCAATGTGTCAGATCTATCGTTGGAGTGTCGCGACGGCAGCAATGGGAGACCCACGCAACGTCCTCAGCCCTTGCAAAGACCCTTGGAGTGCCTGAGGACATTGGTCACATCATACGGGAATGACGTTTGCGCTGGCTTGGACACGTGGCACGGAGGGAAGATCACCGGTTGCCGAAGTGTGTTCTCTTCGGTGAACTGCCTGCCCCGCGCCCCGCGCGTGATCCACGGAAGAGGCGGAGGGACGTTGTTATGCATGACTTTGCGTCGGTTGAGCCACCGGTACCAACATGTGGATGGTAAATGCAGCCCAGAACCATCCGGAGTGGCGTGCCATTGCCCGTCGACCACACAAGGCACCCTCTGCTGCTGGCTACGGTTGCGCCTGCGGCCGCATGTTCCGTCGAAGCGGCGACCTGAAACGCCATCAGTCATTCTGTCGTGGACTGGAGAAATAACAATGCGGTATCTTTGCTACGCAATGGGCAAGGTCAAGGTGTGTTTATGGTGGTACAGGTAATGCTATGTACGCCTCTTTGGTCGCTCACACATTATCCATTGCCGGCATTGGTTACACGTTATTATCAATTTGTTATGACCTTCGCTGGTCTGCACACCCACCCACTCTACTCTCTACTCTACTCTCTGAAGTTGAGACTTTCGTTTGCCATTTCATCCAGTAGTTTGACTCTCTGAGAATATCCCTGCTACATGTATATGTATAATATAATTTATACTTTACAATTATCCTTGTCTTATCTATCTTCTTGACACCATGACTTTCTTTGAAGGTCTTGTAGCTATGAAATGTTATTTGCTGCAGGCCATGTGTGTGTGTGTGTGTGTGTGTGTGTGCATCCGTGAATGTCCCACGCTTGGCCCGTGGGTAAATATACAGTCATGTATATGTTATGTGCCACACCAATTTCGCTATCTGTATAATATTATGCAGCACAGTGGCAGGCATAGAGAGAGAGAGAGAGACGTTTTAATGTCTCTGATGTGAATTCTTCACTACTACATAATCTACATTGTACTTGTATGATCGAGCGTATGAGTGTGTGTGTGTACTTGTATGATCGAGCGTACAAGTGTGTGGGTGTGCATTTGCAGATTTGGTGCTTCTCTTGCGACGGGCGTATACATGGTGTGTGTGGGTGCATCCGTGAATGCCCCACGGGTGGGTAAATATACAGTCATGTACGTGTTCTGTGCCATTCAATTTCACTAACTGTATATGCAGCACAGTGGCAGGCATAGAGAGAGAGAGAGACAGAGAGATACGTTTTAATAATGTGTCTGAGGTGAATTCTTCACTACTACATGTACTTGTATGATCGAGCGTACGGATGTGTGTGTGTGTGTGTGTGTGTGTGTGTGTGTGTGCGTGCGTGTGAATGTCCCACGCATAGCCACGTGCGCGGTACCACACAATTTCATTATGTGTAGAACAGCGGCTGGTAGAGAGATAGAGACAGACAGACAGACACAGAAAGACAGAAACGGAGGGATGCTGCGCATAAAGAGCGACAGACAGAGACTCAGAGAGAAAGAGACCAAGACAAAGCACAGACTGAGGAGAAAACAGACAGAGACAGACAATCAGACGCAGAAAGACCGAGACAGAAACAGAGGGACGCACATAATGAATGACAAAAGGAGAGACAGACACAAAGACACAGAGAGCCAGAGACAGAGGGTCCTTAGGGAAAGACAGAGAGAAAAAAACTGAGAAAGGGAGAGGCAGATCGAGAAGGAAGAAGACACAGAGACTGAGAGAGGGACAAAGAAAGACAGAAGAAGAGAAGCAAACGGAGAAACAGCAACATAAGTACAGGGCCAAGAAGACAGACAAACATAGAGAGACAAGCATAGAGAGACAAGCAGAGACAGACCAAGACAGGGAGACAGCTGGAGAGTTACACAGACAAACACAGAAAGGCCGAGACGAAGATTCAGAGAAACACAGAGAGAGAGAGAGAGAGAGAGAGAGAGAGAGAGAGAGAGAGAGACGAAGAGAAGAGAGAGAGAGACACGCGCACACGCACGCACGCACGCACACACACACAGAAACAGAGAGAGAAAAGTGACAAAGTAAGAGACAGAGAAAAGTGACCGAGTGAGGGACAAAGAGAGACACACAGAGAAAGACTGAAGAAGAGAAGCAGACAGAGAAACAGAGACAGACAGATGGAGACAGAGAAACAGAAAGGAAGACAGACAGACAGACAGACAGATGGACAGACAGACAGGGACAGGCACACGGACAGAACGAGATAGGCAGACAGCTAGAGAATGACAAAGACAGGCATACAGAAAAATCAAGACACAGACAGAGACACATAGACACAGAGAGAGAGAGGCAGACAGATAGATAGATTAATAGAATAGAGAGACAGACAGACAGAGAAACATGTGGAGACACACAGATACGAGAGATTTCGTTCGTTGGATTTCTAATACTGAAGTAGTATAATACAAGTAGGTAGCAGCATAATGCACACAGATCTAGAGTGCTGAGAGTTGTCGAATGCGGCGAAAGCAAAGTGTAGTAGACACTACTGTACAGGAGTGAAGCAAAGCTGATTTGTTGTAATGCTGCCTGACTGCTTGCCTGTGTGCAATAATGAGGTGAACTCATAAAACAGTGAGCCGAAAAAAATACGATTAAAAAGCCGATTCACAAACCAGGTAAAGACAGGAAGAGAAGGAAAGATATGTGCGCATATACCCTGCACCCGTGCACGCACACACACACACACATACACACAGAAGGGAGTTGATAGGTGGAGAATTGCGAAAACAGGGGACCCAGTGTGCCCTCAAGGAGATAAAGAGATAGAGATAGATAGAGAGATATTTTTGGCACAGTATATTCGGCCCTGGTTTAAATATGGCTTTGGAATTTATTTTTCATTGCAATCAGGTTCGGCCTCATTTCTCTGTGCTGTGCTAATGAGTCCACAAAGGACGAAACAGTTCTGTCCCCAGATTGGATAGATAGATATAGATGAAGATAGAGAGAGAGAGAGAGGGGGGGGGGAGAGAGAGAGAGAGAGAGAGAGAGAGAGAGAGAGAGAGAGAGAGAGAGAGAGAGAGAGAGAGAGAGAGAGAGAGAGAGAGAGAGAGAGAGAGAGAGAGAGAGAGAGAGAGAGAGAGAGAGAGAGAGAGAGAGGGAAAGAGAGAGAGACATAGGCAGCTGTCTTGGTCATTATCATCCGATGTATTCCGTGTGGCGTAGACCAGGTGTGCATTGAGAATCCTTTCACAAGGCATCGCAATAATTATAATTACGGAATTGGGCAGTAATGCGGTGCTAGTCTTGATATGTTTCACTCAGGTCATGTCTGATATCGTTGGCATAAGAGAAAATCAGTGGGTGTACATCCACTGCACTTGCAAACTTGCGTGTCTCTCTTGCGACGAATGCACATGGTACTTGATGTCTGTGTCAATTGGCTCATTCTGTGGGCGAGTGGTTACTGCCTGAGTTCAATGTCGGAAAAGGTAAGTAGCTCTAGGTGCAGTATAGAGAAAATTATGCCAAATACGCGGTCATTAGGAGAGATTATACCAGCAACTTCGACTCATATACTTCAATATCTAATTGGATCTGTATAGAAGACGCTGCTCAGTGGTATTGGAGTTGTGGTTGATCAACAGCGTATCTTTTAGGTACATGTGGCATCCATTGGTCTTGTGTGAGTGACACTAGGCATGCAACCGGACAACGTTGGTGAAAGGTTTCATTACCAAAGAACTTGATTGGTTTGCCATTTAGCTTTCTGTGTGGCGTCACATCGTTTCCGTGGACTGGTTTAGATTCTTGCCCACGTTTCCAGGAGTCCAGCCAATTAATAGCAGCCGAAGCTATTTGAATAGCCAGACGTTATGTCTTCTTATCTGCTCTGCACTCCATCCGCTTGCATCAGTAAGCAATGCAAACACGTTGTCCCCTGCACAGGCATGTGACTTCTGCAGGGAATTCCGGGAGAGCGTAAAGTGGCAGGACGAATTACCGTGAAGTTGCCACATGATCTGAGTACAATCGTAGCACATCAAGTCTTGACACTACTAGTACTTGTGACATGATCAATTCTGCTATGCTCTAATGCAGACTAGCAATAAGAGGCATTTGTCAGATACTAGTAACCATGAGGTACTGAGATGATTCTCTTCGGCAAGCCACCCACTCTGCAAAAAAATGCGCCAAAATTAATAATCTGTCATCTGCCTGCTCCAACTTGACTGTCCTCCTGACAAGTGAAAACCGCTGGCGTTGTCCGGCCATAAACACCATTATTGGCATCAATCCAACGCATTAATCCAACGCCTTCGTTGCTCCTCATCTCTGCAGCTCATACCAATAGGTCTGGCACGTCGAAAAACTAAAATACTCGGAGCTACAAGCTACATTTTCAGAGACAGGGTTGCAAATGGCAAGAAACCCAGCTTCCCTTCACCTTTGGCATCACGAGCAATGGCCATTTATCAGCCAGCAATGTTTTACTAGAGCAAAGGCGCTGGCGGGAACAGAAACAGCAACGTTTCTTTCTCAGCAAAAACAAATAAAAAGGAAAGGAACAAAAAAGGATCAACACCAGGGATTCGTCCATACCCGGTACCCAGGCCAGGTGTGTACTACTACTACCCCTGGAAAGGCTCTCCCACAGATTGCAGTACAAAAGCCACGGCCAAGTGTCCCACTGAGGTGCGGTCGCTTGCCCGGACCACTGGGACGCGGACACCTACGAAGAGCAGCCTGTGACGTTTATTTTTTATGACAGAAAATCCGCAAAAAAAGTTGGGCTTGTCCCTTTAGGCTTTCGCCTCTCTATAACATGACCCAGCTGTAATGTCCGTGCTCGCATTGATTTGATTTTTGGTTGGCTTTGAGGGCGCTGGCACCCACATTCAGTGACCCAGAAAATTTGGCACTGCTGTGAATAGTTTAGTCGGAAAGTGAAGATTCACGGGTAAAAAGCCTCAATTTGTGAGATAGGCTATTTTTCAGCTTTCAGCAGCCCTGGGCGAATTCTTTAGAGACATGTGGCTGCTTTTCTTGGTGCACTTGTCTATGTCCAGCTACACAAGGACATGATGACGGTCATTGTCATTTTCTGAGCTGCGAACGGGCAGAAAGGTGAGAAAATGTCGGATTTTGACCATTTGTGCTGACCTTTGAATTTCATTGTACCTCTCTATAACATGACCCAGCTGTAATGTCAGTGGTCGCATCGAGTTGACTTTTGGTTTGCTTGGAGGGCGCTGGCACCCACATGCAGTGACCCAGATAATTTGGCACTGCTGTGAATAGTTTAGTCGGAAAGTGAAAATTCACGGGTAAAAAGCCTCAATTTGTGAGATAGGCTATTTTTCAGCTTTCAGCAGCCCTGGGCGAATTCTTTAGAGACATGTGGCTGTTTTTCTTGGTGCACTTGTCTATGTCCAGCTACACAAGGACACGATGACAGTCATTGTCATTTGCTGAGCTGCGAACGGGCAGAAAGGTGAGAAAATGTGGGATTTTGACCATTTGTGCTGACCTTTGAATTTCATTGTACCGCTCTATAACATGACCCAGCTGCATTGTGAGCGGTCGCATTGATTTGATTTTTGGTTTGCTTGTAGGGCGCTGGCACCCACATTCAGTGACCCAGAAAATTTGGCACTGCTGTGAATAGTTTAGTCCCAAAGTGAAGATTCACGGGTAAAAAGCCCCAATTTGTGAGATAGGTTATTTTTCAGCTTTCAGCAGCCCGGGGCGAGTTCTTCAGAGAAATTTGGCTCTTTTTCTTGGTGCACTTGTCTATGTCCAGCTACACAAGGAGATGAGGATGGTCATTGTCATTTTTTGAGCTGCGAACGGGCAGAAAGGTGAGAAAATGTCGGATTTTGACCATTTGTGCTGACCTTTGAATTTCAATGTACCTCTCTATAACACGACGCAGCTGCATTGACAGCAGTCGCATTGATTTGATTTTTGGTTTGCTTGTAGGGCGCTGGCACCCATATTAAGTTACCCAGAAAATTTGGCACTGCTGTGAATAGTTTAGTCGCAAAGTGAAGATTCACGGGTAAAAAGCCCCAAACTGTCAGATAGGTTATTTTTCAGCTTTCAGCAGCCCTGGGCGACTTCTTTAGAGAAATGTGGCTCTCCTTCTTGGTGCCCTTGTCTATGTCCAGCTACACAAGGAGATGAGGATGGTCATTGTCATTTTCTGAGCTGCGAACGGGCAGAAAGGTGAGAAAATGTCGGATTTTCACCATTTGTGCTCACCTTTCAATTTCAATATACCTCTCTATAACATGACCCAGCTGTAATGTCAGTAGTCGCATTAATTTAATTTTTGGTTTGCTATCCCGCGAATTATTATTATTACTATTTATTATTTGTAGGGCACTAGTGCTCGCATAGATTGGATTTTTGGTTTGCTTGTAGGCCGCTGGCACCCACATCGGGTTACCCTGAAAATTTGACACTGCTGTGAATAGTGTAGTCGCAAAGTGAAGAATCACGGGAAAAAGAGGTCGGTGTGAGTTTCTGAGCTTCGAACGGGCAAAAAGGTGAGGAAATGTCAAACTTTCGACCTGTTGTGCCCATCTTTCACGCTTCAATGTACCTCTCTATACCATGACCCAGCTCTAATGTCAATTGTCACATTGATTTGAGTTTTGGTTTGCTTGTAGGCCGCTGGCACCCACATGCAGCGACTCAGAAAATGTTGCACTTTTGTGAATAGTTTAGTCGCAAAGTGAACAATCACGGGACAAAGCTCCGAACTTGGAAATAGGTTATTTTTCAGCTTTCAGCAGCCCTGGGCGAATTCTTTAGAGAAATGTGCCTCTTTTTCTTGCTGCACTTCCAGCTATACCCAGCTGTAATGTCAGTGGTCGCGTAGGTTTCATTTTTGGTTTGCTTGTAAGTTGCTTGATCATTTTTGACAATGTGTGTCATTTCTGTTGCGCATTTCCCTTTTGTGGTGTCAGATAGAGTTCATTCACAACTAGCAAGGAGGACAACAAACGAAGAACAACATTCCAAGCAGTGTGCGAACACAAAAGGGAAGTGTGTACGAACACCAAGGAAAGTGTGTACGAGCGCATATGGAAGCAGGAGCTCTAGGCGGGTGCATACGGGGTGCGGGAGTTGCACCATATACGGAAGTATGCCATATACATCATGCCCCTCCTAAGATAAAAACGTACAAGTGTTTATCTAATCAACAAAAATAATGTGAAAATTGCATGTGCGTAGCAAATGACATGTCGCGGAGCAGCAGCAACTTCCAACAGACTTGTAAAAGGGATAATTGCAAAAATTATATACATGAAGGTTTTCAACTGCGAAACAATGGGAATGACAATTGAATAGGTACAATGGACATCAACAACTGAACAGAGCGAGTGTTAATTGTACGATTGTCCACGCGTTGAAATAATGTTAAAGGGGACATTCTGTCGCCGGGGACGTTGGCTTGTTCGAGGTGGTACCTGAACAGTTGACTGTGGCGACGACTGAGTCACAGGGACTGCTTGTGGTGCAGCGTCGGGTACGGGAGACGATGCAGGCATGGCTGTTGAAGCTGGAGTAGGAGGACGGTACGGGCGGAGGTAGCGACGGTTGCGCCAATATACGCGTCCACTCGGTAGCTTGACGTAGTAGTCGCGGTGGTCACCGATAGCCACGACAACGAAGCGGGAAGACCACCGTTTTGTCTTCGGGTGCTGAATGTCAACGTGCGTCCCGATAGACAAGTGGGGGAGCTCTCGGTGAGGCTGACTGGGAGGCTGGTCTACGCGATCAACATCATCCATGTCAGATGCGGTGTCTTGCCAGTGGGAGTCGAACTGGCTCCATTGGGCGAGAACGAAGGAGACGAGTGGGCGACCATACAGTAACTGGGCAGGACTCTTTCCCGAAGTGCCAGGAGTATTGCGCCACTCGAGAAGGCCACGCTGGAAAGCATCGGTGTCTAGATTACCATCATTGGTAGTCTTTTCCACCAGGTACTTCATTGCCTTCACGGCTGCCTCCGCATGTCCGTTCGACTGTGGGTAGTGAGGGGACGACTTGATATGACGGATTCCCCAGCGCTCGCAAAATTCAGCAAATCTGTGAGACGCAAACTGAGGACCGCCGTCCGTTGAAATGACCTGTGGTACGCCTACATCTGGGAACCACCTGCGGAAATGACGAATGACGTCAGCTGACGTGGCTGAGTGACCAAGCTTGGCGATGCATGGCCATCCGGTTAAGCGGTCGACGAATACCAAATACTCGCAACCTTGGCAACTGAAAAGGTCAGCACTAACACTTTCGAATGGCAAAGTGGGCTTGCGGTCAGAAATGGGCGGTTCGGCAGACTGAGACGGCTGAAATTCACGGCATGCATCACAGCTGCGGACTAGCGTGTCTAACTCACTGTTCATTCCGGGCCAATACACTGTCTGACGGGCACGTCGTTTGGTACGGGTCAGACCTTGGTGGGCTGCGTGAAGGTCGATCAGCGTTGACGCACGCAGAGAGGCTGGGACGACTATGCGTAGACCTTTCAGGACTATGCCATTGTCGGTGGACAAATGTTCACGCACGTTCCAATACGCACGAAGAGGCTCGGGCAGCTGCTTTTGTGCTGAGGGAAATCCGTTCTGGATATACCCAAGTAGCATCTGGTAGTCAGGATCAGATGCTGCTGCGGCACGGAGCTTAGCGAACTGGAGACTCTGGGGACCATCTTGGAGTAAACAGATACGGATACTGCGGCAGGACAGTGCTGGATCTTCTCCAAGTTCATCATCACTAGTCGGGATTGATACAGGATGCCGTGAGAGGGCGTCTGCGAATACGTGCTACATCATCACCTTTGTGTGCCGATTTCAGGAATTCACGGCGGCCAATGTCCATTTTGCAGCCGTGAATAGTCGGAAAGGTGAGAAATGGTGAATTTTTTGGAAAGATGAAGGATTAGGCCATGCAATATATACAAAAAGATATGAAAAATGTAAAACACACAGCCAGTGGGGCTCTATTTTATTTTTATGCCCAGAAATTGCTATTCACCACATAGGCAGTGCCCCTGGAAATTTGACCCTGCTGTAGCTGGCTTGAGTTCCAAGTCCGGATGTACACGCAAAATGCCCCAATCTTGGAGACAGGTTATTTTCAGGGTTCAGCAGCCCTGGGCAAGTCGTTTATGACAATGTGTGTAATTTCTGTTGTGCACTGCACTCTGTGTGCCTATTGCGGGAATTCACGGCGGTCACTGCCCATGATGCAGCTGCGAACGGGCAGGTGAGAAATGGTGAATTTTGGCCATTTGTGCGCACCTGTTCATTTCAATGTACCTGTGGGTTAATGGGCCCAGCTACAATGTGGATCACGAAATTGCTTAGATTTTTGGTTTGCTAGTAGGCGGCTTACACTAGTAGGCAGTGCCCCAGGAAATTGGACCCTGCTGTAACTGGCTTAAGTTCCAAGTCCGGATGTACGGGGAAAAGCCCCAAACTTGGAAATCGATTATTCTCAGATTTCAGCAGCCCCGGGCAGGTCATTTCTGACAATGTGTGTCATTTCTGTTGTGCACTACACTTTGTGTGTCTATTGCAGGAATTCATGGTGGTCACTGTCCTTGTTGCAGCTGTGCATAGTCGGAAATGTGAGAAATGGTGAATTTTTGACCATTTGTGCATACCTGTTCATTTCAATGTACCTGTGGGTAAATGGGCCCAGCTGCAATGTGGGTGCTGGAATTGCTTAGATTTTTTGGTTTGCTAGTAGGCCGTTTGCACTCGTAGTAAGTGACCCAGGAAATTTGACCCTGCCGTAACTGGCTTGTGTCCCAGCTCCGAATATACGGGGCAAAAAGCACCAAACTTGGAGATACGGTATTTTCAGGGTTCAGCAGCCCTGGGCAGGTCGTTTAGGACAATGTGTGTCCTTTCTGATGGCCACTACCCTCTGTGTGCCGATTTCAGGAATTCACTGCGGTCACTGTCCATGTTGCAGCTGTGAATAGTCGGAAAGGTGAGAAATGGTGAATTTTTGACCTTTTGTGGGCACCTGTTCATTTCAATGTACCTGTGGGTAAATGGGCCCAGCTGCAATGTGGATGCAGGAATTGCTTCGATTTTTGGTTTGCTAGTAGGCCGCTTGCGCTCGTAAGCAGTGCTCCAGAAAATTTGACCCTGCTGTAACTGGCTTGAGTTCCAAGTCCGGATGGAAGGGGCAAAAGCCCCAAACTTGGAGAGAGGGTATTTTCAGGGTTCAACAGCCCTGGGCAGGTCGTTTATGACAATGTGTGTCATTTCTGTTGTCCACTACCCTCTGTGTGCCTATTGCAGAAATTCACGGCGTAAATGGGGCCCGCTGCAATGTTGGTGCTGGTATTGCTTAGATTTTTGGTTTACTAGTAGGCCGCTTGCACTCCTAGGCAGTGCCTTAGGAAATTTGAAAAAAGCCCCAAACTTCTGTAACTGGCTGGAGTTCCGAGTCCGGATGCACACGCAGCCCTGGGCAGGTCGTTTATGAAAATGTGTGTCATTTCTGTTGTGTGCTATCGCAGGAATTCACTGTGGTCACCGTCCATGTTGCAGTGGTGAATACTGTAAAAGCCATATATAAAACGAAGTGCTAACTCTAACGAGTTAACGAGGAGAAATCTGTCGTTAAAATAGAAATCCTTATACTGAAATCGATACATATAATGTCCTATTCAGCATTGAGAATGAGTGAGAATCGTTACCTTTGGTACACGTAAACTAGTCAATTTTGGGAAATCATTATATATGCGCCTCGTTAGAATAATGGCTTTTACAGTAGTCGGAAAGGTGATTGGTGAATTTTTGACCATTTGTGCGCACATGTTTTTTTAATGTCCTTTGTGTAAATGGACGCAGCTGCAGTGTGGGCGCTGGAATTGTGTTGATTTTTGGTTTGCTAGCTGATTTTGTGAGGTCTGCATTTGCCACTAAGGTGGCCTGCGAAAGCGAAGGCTTGTGTGTTTCTGACCATTCAAGTGATGCTAAACTCGAATCTCGGGAATATTATTGTTAATAGTAGGCCGCTTGTACTCGTAGGCAGTTCGCCAGAAAATTAGACCTTGTTGACCCTGTGACCCCGTTCCAACTCCGCGTGCACGGGCGAAATGCCCGAAACTTGGAGATGGATAATCTTGAGCTTTCTGCGGCGCATAATGCGTTTGATTTCTGTGGTGCACTACCCTTTGTGTGCCTATTGCAGGAATTCACGGTGGTCATTGTCAGTGTTGCAGCTGTGAATAGCCTGAAACATGAGAAATGGTGAACTTTTGGACCATTTGTGCGCACCAGTTGGCCAAGCTGCAATGTGGGTGCTGGAATTGCTTTGACATTATTTTGGTTTGCTAGTACGCCGCTTGTACTCGTTGGCAGTGCCCTAGGAGATTTGACCCAGCTGTTACTGGCTTGAGTTCCAAGTCCGGAAACACGGGCAAAAAGCCCCAAACTTGAAGATGGTTATTTTCAGCTTTCAGCAGCCCAGGCAAGTCGTTTATGGCAATGTGTGTCATTCCTGTTGTTCACTTCTCTTTAGTTGGAAGGTTGAGAAATTGTGAATGTACTGTCGTGGACGTGCAAATCCGGTCGCACGTCTAGCGGCCCCAGGGCGCTAGCCATGCAGCCGAGGATAAGCGGAATGCTGAATGTATATGCACTGCAGCGCGCTGGTCGCATCGGATCAACATGACTGCACGCAGCGTTCTGTACGCGCTGAGGGCGGCGGGTCCCGGTCAATCGACTGGATTTCTATGTCCGCTACAGTACCTGTGTGTAAATGGGCCCAGTTGCAATGTGGGTGCTGGAATTGCTTTGATTTTTTGATTTGCTGGTAGGGCCGGAAAGAAAGAATTTGGTACAGCACTCACACTTTTCCCTTAACATACCAACACTCAAATACCCACCCACACACATGTACCTCACCTGCATTTCCCCAATCTACACTTACTTCAACACTACTCGCTGCTCACGTAATAGCGCATCCAATAGTGCTAGCTTTAGATTATCAGTGTTGGTTGTATCAGTTTTACTTCGAAGTAGATCTAAACTTTATGGTACCATAATCAATATTTTTCCTTCGTCGTCCAACTCTCGGTGTGATGAAGATTTCGTTCAAATCATATTGTCCTGTTGTTCTCAAGTATGAGTGCGAACACTTTACTTTCATCGATATGAAGATTCTTGCCTGCCGACTTTTTGATCATTTTTTAGCTTATCCTACCTCTGAACTTCCCACCTGAAATGTTTGGTCAACCGCCCTCAGCTACCATTATTTTATTTTATTCCAAGCAATACATGGCTGGGGTAGCCAATGACCACTTTGCGTGGCGATTGCAGGGTTTTTATAGCCAACCACGGCTATCATGCACAGAGTGCAAAATAATTGTGTACGGGTTCATCACATGATGTGAAGTTCTGCCGTCGCGGACCCCATACTCCATAGACTAGAGTTGCACACTCTTGGGGGTTATGTACTCTTGATGTTAGGCATCTGAATGTGTGGTGGGCATCTGAACGTGTGGTGGGTATCTGAACGTGTGGTGGGTATCTGAATATATGGTGGGCAACTGAATGTGTGGTGGGCATCTGATTGTGCGGTGGCATCTGAATGTGTGGTGGGCATCTGAATGTGTGGTGGGTACCCGAATGTGTTGTGGGTATCTGAATGTATGGTGGGCAGTGGGCATCTGAACGTGTGGTGGGCATCTGAATATGTGGTGAGCATCTGAATGTGTGGTGTGTATCCGAATGTGTTGTGGGTATCAGAATGTATGGTGGGCATCTGAATGTGTGGTGGGCATCTGAATATGTGGTGGGCATCTGAATGTGTTGTGGATATCTGAACGTGTGGTGGGCATCTGAATGTGTGGTGGGCATTTGAATGTATGGTGGGTATCTGAATGTACTGTCGTGGACATGGAAATCCGGTCACACGTCTAGCGGCCCCAGTGCGCTGGTCATGCAGCGTGGATAAGCGATACACATGCATTGTACTAGTAAGTAGTATGCGGTCTAGTGCGCTGGTCGCATCGGATCAACAAGACTTGCACTGCAAGCAGCGCTCTGTACGTGCTGAGGGATTTCCATGTCCGCTACAGTACATGTACATGACTGTGCACATGTATGGTGGGCATCAGAATGATTGTATGGGTGGGCATCTGAATGTATGCTGAGCATCTGAATGTATGCTGGGCATCTGAATGTATGCTGGGCATCTGAATGTATAGTGGGCATCTGAATGTATGGTGGGCATCTGAATGTATGGTGGGCATCTGAATGAATGGCGGGCATCTGAATATGTAGTGCCCTGCCTTGCTAGTACTGAACTGTAGCTGACTACTTATAGCGTATATTTTATTGTATTCCCGTACGTCTGTCGCCCTATAAAAGCAGCTGGGCGTTACTGATTTCTACACAACTGATTTCTGATTTCTAAAACTGCAACAGAGCCGAGCAGAAGAGCTGTTCTGACCTCCAGGTGTCCACCGGAGAAGGTTTCTTTCTTGCCGCTTCTCTTTCTTGCCTTTTTACATGTAATCAGGTGTGTACCTGAGAAAGTTCGATTTAAAGTGAATTCGTGTTGATTGCCGTGCCTCCACTCGGCTACCCACTACGAATGTCTTGTGGGCATCTGAATGTATGGTGGGCATCTGAATGTGTGGTGGGCATCTGAATGTGGAGTGAGGGCATCTGAATGTATGGTGGGCATCTGAATGTATGGTGGGCATCTGAGTGTGTGGTGGGCATCTGAATGTATGATGGGCATGTGAATGTACATGTACATGTATGGTGGGTATCAGAATGTACTGTACGGTGGCAGTGTTGCCAACCGCCCGCATTTGTCTGTAGTTTTGTCCGCAGTATGGATTTCAATCGAATTATTTAATTATTCCGCAAACTATCGTGTATGATAGATTACTAAAACCTTTGTGTTGGGTTCAGTTAGACAAGACAACATTGGTGCTAGTTTCAGTTCTTGTCCAAAACAAACTCAAATCAAATATCCGAATCCAAAAACCTACAATTGTAGTGTACGAAACTGTGCCCATGCGCTTGGACATCAGTAAGCACGCAGAACTTTTGTTAGCGATGACATGAGAGATCCGCTCACAAAACATGCATAAAACACAGAATAACAATAATAAAAAAGAGACCCATGACGCATAATGTACACAGCACATACATGTACATGTACATGTACATGACGTTACATTGTATTAATAGGTGGGAATCACACTCCTGTGATCACAACACTTCGTAACTCCATCGTTTCTTGTGCAAATTCAACACTCGAAGGGTCTACGTGGTAGCGAAACCTCCAAGCTGTCCAATGCAACAATCGCCGAAGAGTGACGATGTTGGATTCCAGAGATATCAAGCGCCGTGTTCCGGTATTCCTAGCTCGGCAGATCCAAATTTTTGATCGATCTCTTCGTCATGTTTGGAGAAAATGCCTTTTCGCATGCTCTTGGAGCGACTGAGCACATCATTATGGCGTAGCCGGTTGAAGTCTGAATTGCGTCAAAAACATTTGAGCGTTCTGTGATGAAGGAGAGTGGAATGGTGATGATGGGACAAATATGCTTGCATATTAGGCTTGAAGACGACTTAGCTGTGTTACGGCGCCTGATTTGTGGCAGCTTCATAATGGCGTTGCTCCTGCCAAGAGCTTTCCAACGAGCCCTAGATTGTGATAATCAAGCTACGTAGACCACGGTTATGACCTGGTGAGGTTGAAAATTGTACTGAATTTGTGAGGTTCACAAGTGAACTCTGTGACTGGAAAAGTAGTTGTACAGTATCTCGTTTGTTCCTCCAAATTACACTACAAATCAGTCAAAATGTTGACCCAAAAAACGAGGACGCAAAACTGAAAAATGGCACTGGGAAATACGCTTGGGGGTAGAGCGCATTTGGTAACACTGTGGTGGGTATCTGAATGTAGGGAGGGCCCAAATATGCTTGCGCATATTTTGGTCCTTTTGACACAAGGTCGGATAAAGTACTTGGTCCGCCCAGTTAAAATTGGCGCTTATCTTCTCACTTGTTTTTTTGGTGTTCTGCCTGTGCCATACGGCATGGAACCGCCGATTCACCATCCGAACATGACCATTGACCATTGCATCCGACGACATGGCAGCACAAACCATCACAGAAGTTGCGATCAGTTCGTTTGAGTCTTTTTGACGGAGCTGCCGCCGACGAACACTTCCGTCAGCGCAAGAAAACACTGCAACCTCCGCTCGAGTCCGTAAAATAGGTCAGGATGTTCGCATTTCAGAGCGATGGAGAATACAGTTTCTGTCTACTTCCAGCTGTCTGATGGCAAGGATTGTTTACTCTGGGGAGGTATAGAAAAGCTGAAAAAGCGCTTCGCGAGCTTGAATTTCAGTGCTTGCACAGTACAGCGCCTAGTGAAGGGCTATCACCAGCAAATCGCTGACGAAGAAACTGCAGCTCATGTCGATGTCTCCAGTAAGTGAGACCAATCCGGCGGACACACTTTGAAGCTCACAGAGGACAGGGCAAAGGAGCTAATCAAAGGAAACACCAAGTCCTGAGAGAAACACTCGTGCAAAGGACTTTCAGGAAACTAGCCGAAAAGCCTGGTGCACGGCGTTGTAGGTGCAGTACGCACAGGTGCTACATCAAGCGGAAGCTATCACTGCGCTGCATGTACAAGCACCAGCGGCTCGCGTGGGTACGGGTGCTGATCAGCAAGTCCGACAAGCGCAAGAGGCGATTTGAAAAAAGGACACTGATATGGCGTTGCCTTTTTGTCTCAAACAAAGTCGCATTATTGCGACGAACGGGGATAACACAGTCAACATGCGGGCAGTCTCACTCAGCTTCTGATGGGAAGGTGACAGGCACGCACTGCCTTTGAGCGTGATTCGAGACGAGGAGAAGTGGAACAAGCTATGAAACGACCTGTGCAGCAGCTGTCCGGATCGTACGTTTTGAGCTCTTCCTCCAGCGACGATAGTGGCGAGGAAGATGTGTAACTTGCTTGAATTTTCGACTGAGTTGCTTACTGACATGTAAATAATCATGTATATAGTGCTTTGTGACCGTAGCTTGCTTCAAATATTAGTATTTCTTTCCTGAGACAAGTGTGAAGATAAGCGCCAATTTTAACTGGGCGGACCAAGTAGCAAATCTAGCATACGAGATGTAGCATATTTTGCTACAAGGAGCATAGAATTCGCATAATTATAGGGCAGATTGCGGAAATGGACAAGGAAACTTACCACGGCACGCTCGGTCAGGGAACACTTCCAAACTTAGCCCGGAAGGAAAAATGCTCATTCAAACACGTGGCGAAACTTTGACCCGAGAAGAGAGTGTCCGCGACTCAAGGTCGCATAAAGTAGCAAATCTAGCATATTGTACCAAATGTAGCATATTTTGCTACAAGGAGGAAAGAATTCGCATAATTATCACTGATATCAGTTCATATTTCGAGCATATTATTCTGCTTTTGTGTGATTTCGAAGCATATTTTGAAACAAATGGCCAATATGCGAAAAGCATAATATGCGAAATTTTTGAGCATATTTGGGCCCTCCCTATCTGAATGTATCGTGGGCATTGGAATGTGAGCCGCGCCAAGCTAAAAAGTGGCTTAGCGTTTTGCCAACAAATCGAGAAAATCACCAAAACGTCACAGTTGGCAACAATCTACTCGAGCGCAGTTGCAAAAATATT